GTTCTGGGGGCCGAAGCTGCCGCGCTCGGCGGTGTCCAGAACGCCGACGGGGCTTGACGGCTCGATCAGGTCAATTGACGGCATCAATTTTGGCGCACACGTGTCCATGATATACTGGTCCATCAGCTGGCGGCAGGCCCCTAATTCATCCTGCTTCACAAAATCAGCAAGGTTTGTTACATACATAAGAATTTTAGAAACATTGTAAGTGTAAGCGAGTCAAGCTAACTCATGAGTCAGCTCGAGCTCAACTTGATAAGAAATTCATGAATCGAGATCGGCTTGATGAGTAGCTCATGAACCGAGTTCGACGAGCTAACAAGCAACTTAAGTTAGTCCAGCACGACTCATTAGCTCATAGGCTAACTAATTTTAAAAAAATATTAATATAAAATATAGTCAAAATATATTAAATTTTAATTTTTTTATAAAATATTATAGATATTTGAAAAATAACATTTTATATTATATATTAAAAAATTTCTTATTATTTTTCACTTAAATATTTATTATATTTAATATATTATTATAATATTAATTTAAGTTAATATTATTTATTATCTTTTATGACTCCACTCCACAAAGCCAACGAGATCAGGGGATTAATAATTAATTAGTTCCATTTTAATAGGAACTTACCTTGCTTAACCACCTGCTGAAGCAGCGAAGGCAGTCGCCGTCATCCGCGACCGAGGAATCGGAAAGCTCTGCGGCGGCGCAGAGCACCGCCGCGCCGGCGCTGGCGGGCGGGCTGAATTTTTAATGAAATCCACCACTGATTCAAAGGAATTCAAAGCAAATCAAAAGTGATATCGATGAAAAGCGTAAAACTGAGCTGATAGGCGTGGTAAAAAAAGCAGTTTTTTTACCGCGGCGCGTACTGATGATGAGATCGGCGGTGCGAGAGAAGAGTGCAGGGCGAGAAGCGGTTACGCAGGGGAGAACGACTGAAGCGAAGTGAGGAAGGAAATCAAAGGGAGTAATGGAGCGCATTCGCCACTGGAGCGCCGCCATGAGAATGAGCTCCATGCGTCGGATAGTTCTGGGAGCAAACAAATACTTGGGGTCAAGAATCTGGAGGTCGAGAAGCAGGGGAACCTGTGTTTCTTCCATTTTCGCTGCTATGGAGATGCAGGCTACGGATAGAAGCTGCATCGGCCATCCGTTTTTCTCCTCTACTACCTGCAAGCCAAAAACTTTCAGATCTTGACAGGTAAAAAAGAATAAGGAAAGCTGCGGGTCTGAAGAAATCTACTGGAAGAGAGTTGGCTGAGAGGAAGCGGTCAAGGTAGTCGACGGAGAGGTAGGCGGTGACCGGACGAAAGCGGTGGAAATCGATTACCTGTTTAAGATAAAGTTTCAATTTTTATGATAATTATAATTGATTTGTTACTTGGAATTGCGTTTAAACTGGGTAATTTAATGCCTTGAGGATCCAGTTGATGGAATCATGGCGAGAGGTGATGTCGAGGGAGTGAGAGAGAAAGCCGGAGCAGGGCATGTGCTCTGTTTCGGCCGAGAGGAGTGCGATGAGGTCTGATGCGGAAGGCGACCACTCGTCTCCGGAGTCATCTCCGCCGCCAGAGGAGTCCCATAAGACGGCGTCCTCAGCACAGTAAAGGCTATGGGAGGTAGAGAAAGCCATTGAACCAAAGGAAGGGATATGTGGATAAGAAGTTCAGTGATAGAACATCGGCGGTTGGTATTCGCGAGGGCATGTAAGAAGATGAGCGCTAGAGAGAGAAAATGATCCCTCTCTTCTCCGTTCTCTCTCTCTCTCGCCCTGTGTGGCTTTGTTCTTTGCCTTCTCTGTGTTAGGTTTACTCCCTCGGAACAGTGAAGGCACGGCCTTTGACAATGACAGGGTTTCGTGGACCGAAGGGAAGGGACGTTCTTTAGAGCATTTATAGCTATGAGCCTATAACACAAGTATTAGGTAAATATTTATTATAATACTTTTTCAAAATATGGACATATTTATCTTTATATACCACTAAACTAATACTCAAAATTATGGAAGTATGTTCATTATTATAGAATATTTTTTTATAATATATTTAAAATTTTTAATTTGGATTGGAATTTCTATTTGGAGTTTAAAGTGTAAAGTTAAAAACATATAAATAGAGCATCCGGAATAAATTTTAAACTATGATTAAATATTATTTTAATTTTATATTATTAATTTTTTAAATGATTAACCCATGTTTGTTGAAATTTTGTAACACCTTGAATTGATGATTGAGCAAATTTTTAAATTATTTTTACACATGATTGAACTTTTCCTCAAATCATATATGATGTATGATGAAACCTCCTTCAAACATGAATACATTATGTTTAAATATGATTTGATCATAATTAAAGGATGTTTAAAGTATGTTAGATCATGTGTCAACAATGATTGAATAATGTTTAATTAAAATAAATAAATTGTTCGAATACTTGATAAAGATGGTTGAAGATGAGTCAATCTTGATCAAACATGCTACTTTTTTTTAATTAAAGTTTGTTCGGTCAGATTTGTGGAAGATGAATTAAATTTACTGATTTAAATTGGCATGAAGTATAGACATATGATGATGGGGGTGCTAAGTATAATTTGATATAGTCTAACATTGTAGAAAAACATTAAAATGTTCGTCACATATAATGATGGGGGTGCTAAGTATAATTTGTTTTTGTTATTTAATGTTAATGATCTTAATGATTGGGTTAACAGATCCTCCTTTAAGCACTTTTTGGGGGGCTCCAAAATTATAGTTCTTTGATTCTCTAATTTATTAATTATTATTAGGGATTGTTGGTGATGATCTGGTTGATATGTACTCCATTATATTTAGCATTAGAGCAGAGAACACGACATTCATGATTGCTAACTTTTCTAGGCTCAGTATTAGAGAATTCCCATCTGATTATGAGTATAAAATGATAATAAAAGATCATAGAGCTAGAGCATGTTTACATAAAGTGCACTAACAAAGATGATGATAATAAGTACTTGTAAGTCATCAGCGGATATAAGCCTATATTTTTTCTAATAATTTGAAATAAAACTTCTTTGCTTAATGTGAAATCTAACTTAACACATAACCCATAATATTGTATGATTTTAACTACCAGTTTGTAATTCATTACATATCTTATAAGAAATGATGATTTTGTTCTGTAAATGTCTTCTTAGGTTGCTTCAATATGTGGGGTTATTTAAAATAGATATTTATATGTTGTAGATCTCTATAGACATAAAGGCAGGTCATCATAGATGAAGTCCCAAGTGTAATAATAAAAAGATTATTTTAAAAATAAAAAAAAGAATAACTTCTTTAAATAGTAATTTCACATACAATAAGATGATCCATATGCATCCGTTTTATAGGGAGAATTATAGAGTGCATGTCAAACAATATTTGATATATTTGATTTCAAATAAAGTTTTTCTAAAATTTATGTCTAATAGTATAAAATTTGTTAATAACACTCTATAATTATATTTATTTTGTAATAATGTAGAATTTTTCATTCATTGTGTAATGTTATTACAACCATTTTACATAACTTTTATGTTATGTCTATTGTGTATGTCATACAACATTTGATAATTACAACATTTGATATGTCTATTGTCGGCGTATAACATTTGAAAAATATTTATATACATATAAGATGAAATTTGAAAAATATTTTTTGTATGCCATACATCAAATGTTATGTCTATTGTGTATGTCATACAACATTTGAAAAATGTTTTGCATGTCATACAACATTTGATATATAATTTTATTTATTTTTCTTTATATATATATATAAATATATCTTTTTAATTTCAAACTAGTTTTTATAATAAATATATTTGGATAATTTTTTTTTTATTTTGATTTCATTTTAATGAAATTTAATGAGTTTAATTATTATTATTTTATAATGTCAAAGCATTAAAATTGTATATTTTTTGTTAGGTGTTTTAATAGAAAGAACACAATATAAATTACAATCATTTAGTCATTATCATCAATATAATAAATAAATTAAAAAAAAAACAACTAAAAGCGATGTGTAATTATAATTATTTTTTATTATATTAATTAAATATTTTTTAAAATAGAAAAAAGAAGAAGAAGAATGTGGCAATGGTCATTGAAATTAGATTTTCTATCATATGGACATTAAATTAACTTAATATTTTTTTTGAATAAGCATAAACTATGTTGCTTGTCCTTTCTATTTCAAAAAATAAATAAATATTAGATTATTGTTAGAAATAATATGTTGATTTGGCACGAGTAATATTAATAATATATGTTTATTTTATTATATAAATAATATTTATTCAATAAATATTGTTGATCAGTTGAGAGCAAGATAGCTATTTGTTGACTTTTTGAGAGTAAGATTGTTGACTTGATGATGAACCTTTTCTTAATGAATAATTATATGTATATTTTTTCATTCATATGAGTGACAAAATTATCAACATGGATTCTCATATTAGCTTCATTAGTGTAAAATTAATATGTTATCTAATGACTATGTGTATCTTAATGAGTGAAAAATTCTAATTATTTTCTCTTTTATAAAAGCATAATATAATTAACTTTAAAAACAGTGCTAAAAAATTATTGGTTTATTCAATAAAAAAAGTATTTTGCTTGCTCCATTCCTCAGGTTTGTTTGGGAAAAAAAAATATTAGGTTAGGAGTCTGAATGCATTAGGACTCTTATGGTGGGACGCCACGTGTCAAATGACCCCATCATAATACACTTTTTTGGGGGACACTTGAGACGTGGCGCCTCATCATTAGAGTCCCAATGCATTAGGACTCCCGACCTAATATTTTTTCCTGTTTGCGGGACAGTCTCGGATTTTAAATGCATCATATTATTATTAAAAAAAAAATCAACAGTTAATTAGAAGGGCCCTTCTTTCATTAAATTGTGTTGTCTGCTGAGCTACCCTAAAAGGGTTTTGGTATTTGCCCATAAATTGCTGCGATGGAATTATAATGTGCAGTAGTGGGTCTGTTGTACCAATTAGATGCAAGGCAATGGGAAGAACTTTATTTGAGCCCTTCATATGAGTATATAATCCCATCTTTGCTTCAATTGGAATATTTATATGTACATACATGAAAAATTAGCCTTCGTGGGCAAAAGACACGACTTTTATCATAATGATCAGCTAAGGCGATCTGTCAACCTAACTTGTCGGGATGTCAACCGTTTTACACTAGCCGTCGCAATGACCTGTCCTTCTGTTTGGTTGACTTGGCAAACTAGTTCGTCAATTTGGTTCGCCTATTCCTTTTAGCGAACTAACCAATCAGACTCACAAGCCTAGCTCGCCTCCTCGACAATCCTCGAAGCAATCAGAACACAAAAGTTAAGATTGACATCAAGGATGCACATATGCCACATCCTCATTGATGAGCCGCATGATGCATATGTCGCGATCTTTTCATTGAGTCACCGTGGACAGATTTCATACGACACAACTTGTATATTTTCGCATTTTCTCGAGCAGGTTCAACGGTCAGTTTTTGTTAAGTAAAAAAAGCAAATAATTTCAATTCACCTTAGAAAGTAAAATGGACGATTTACTTACATGCCACTCAATTCTTATGTATTTACATATCTAACACCCAAGTTTAATTTTCACATACATGACATGCAATTTCTCTCTTTCTTAATTAAGAAAGATAATTTAAACTACTACCCTTAATACATGATTTAAGTTTGAGATAAAATATTATCAGTAATGTTGAAATAAATGATACTTATCAAAACTATAAGCCGCCTTCGGTTAATTAAAATTCCATTAATTATTTAATTATCAAGCATGTATATATATTTATTAATATCATCTTCATCTTTCTCACATAATTTGCGGTCAAAATTTTGTTTATTTAATCATTAACCATCCCTTTAATTAATAGGTTAAATGCTAGCTAACAATTAATATGGATTTGATATATGTTGATATATTAATGACAACTTAATGTGAATGAATACTTGCGTCGTAATCACACCTATAATTACATTTAGTGTTGTTCTATTTATATAGGGCTAGGATTATTGCCCGACCCACTTTAATTGGTCTAAATTTAATCGATCGAGCTTCGTGCCATTGAATTGATGAATATCCAACAGATCGTCTTCTTGCCGGTGAGCCCCTTCCTAAGCGATCTCTGAGTCAATCAATATCTGATTCGATAGATCTCTCAATCGATCGCTAGTCGGTCGACTAATATCGCTCGGTCGTCCTTTATCGGGCGGTTTGACTATTTAAAATTCATAAACACTTAAAAATCTCTTTCTAGATGCATGATGCACATTGCCATATCAAGGCTAAAATTTGTAGGCATCTTAAAGCCTATAGTAATAATTAATTAAATGCATGCAACATATCTAAAAACAAGCCATCACATTGATTTAATTAAAATTAAATGCATGATAAGAAATTATTTATGACTCTAACCATGTTTTGAAAATTAGCTTCAAGAACAAGACAATGAATTTTAATGGAGGTCTGCATCCATCCATGTGCACTTGTACCAAAGGGATCCAACCAAAAATGGTTTATTGCTTTCAGTCTCATCAAGTGTTTAGCCTTTTGTGGATTCAACTTTTCAAGCTACCATTTTTATTAAAGGCATGGCACATATAATATTTAATTTTTATTTTGTATTTTATTTTTCATCTAATGTTGTTGTAATAGGGCACCTATGATGGTTGGTTTTTGATATTGACATAATTTTATAGTTAATTTCTTGATAATATAAGTCATCATTATCATGATCAACATTATCATGATGTAATCAATCTAATTAAACACGAATAATATATTATCTCGTCTGTTATATATTTATATGTATCTGTTTAATGTAAGTGAATTTACGTACCAAAAAAAATATGTATTTATTATCTAACAATTAAATAGTTGTATTTAATTTATATGTCATTATAGTGTCTAAAACACGTCAAAAAATATGCAAGAAAATAAATATCTTAGGTTAACTAGGTTAATATAAATAGACTTTTTGGCATAATTTAATTAGAAATATATATGTGCCGCAAGCCTTGGGCTGTTGGTGATAGAGTCACTGCAAGCCCTTTCATGTCAAGGGTTCGATCCCACCGTGGCGCGTGGCTCTGGAATTTTAGGCACATTGCTCGTGCTCATATTATAGGGCAAAAAAAAAAAA